ATAACCTTATAATCTACATTCTACCTACTGTCAGGGTAAAATTTTTACTCTAGCACAAGGAAAAGCTAGAAAAGTGAAACCAACCCATAAGGTCTTAACCTTTCTTTTTCTTTCTTTCTTTCTTTTTTTTTTTTTTTTTTTATTTTTTGGTTCAGGGATTGAACTCAGGGCACTCAACCACTGAGCCATATCCCTGGCCCTATTTTGTATTTTACTTAGCGACAGGGTTTCACCGAGTTGCTAAGCACCTCGCCATTGCTGAGGCTGGCTTTGAACTCACGATCCTCCTGCCTCAGCCTCCCAATATAAACGTGCGCCACCATACCGGGCATGGACTTCTTAAATCTTGAGTCAGAAACCCAAAGGCCTATAGAAACCACAAAAATAATGCAAATGAATAAAGTGGGTACATGTAAGAAAAAGGTAGTAGAAATTCTTGCTAACTGAAGAGCAAATGCCCTAAAAGTCATGTAGCTCATGGTTATCAGAGTTCAAATTCTGGAAGTCCTAACCAGTCTGTATATTGATTATGACATCTTTTCTATCCAACACAAATACCTATTTTCTTTATAACAGATATAATTGATTAAACCATGATTCAGGGGATTTATATGCCAAATTTTGATCCATACAATCAAAACAGTACTGAGCTGGAAGGATCTTAGCATATTTTGCTGCTATTCTTAAGTCCCCAGTTCCCTCTTTGGACCAAGAAACCTTATCCCCATTCCCATGTCCAGATCCTAGTTATAGGACACCAACCTACCCCACAGTGTGCATGTCTTTGATTTAAAAAATAAACAAAAAATAGGGAGCCAGGAGTGGTGGCATATGCCTGTAATCCCAGCAGCTGGGGAGGCTGAGGCAGGAGGATCTCGAATTCAAAGCCAGCTTCAGCAAAAGCGAGGTGCTAAGCAACTCAGTGAGACCCTGGCTCTAAACAAAATACAAAATAGGTCAGGGGATGTGGCTCAGTGGTCGGGTACCCATGAGTTCAATCCCCAGTACCAAAAAAAAAAAAAAAAGGGAATTTTTCATAATATCCCAAATTATGTGTTCCATATCATTGCCTGCCTCATAAACATTTATTCCCAGGAACAAGCATGACTAAATATGTAGTGTAAAGAAAATTGAAATTCAATCAACAGAGCTAACTTGCAATCCCAAGGCTCTTGTGTCTAGTACCTTTGGGGTTCCTAAGACACACCTCCTCACCTTTTTCTTCAAGTTGTTCTCCAATCCCAGGGACAAGCTGTGACTCAGCTCTTGGGCCAAACCTTCTAAGGCCTCATGAGGAGGTGAGGAGGCAGAGGCTAAATACAGCTGGGCTCGGGCTGTGGCCTCCGCTTGACGGCTGAGTTGCAAAGAAGCATAGAGCTGGGAGGTCACCTCAGAGGACACTTGGTTCAGCCCAGTGGGTTCTGACGAATCACTCAGGAGATCCTCTGGCCGGAGAGGTGAACTGGGTCTGGTAGCTGAGGTTGCCATAAGTACACATAAAAAATAACCGGTGACAATAGAAAGCTGAGAGCTCCTGGTTCAGCTTTGAGAGAGTCCAATGGGAAAACTTCCTTGGAGAAGGAAGATTTGGGAGAAGGAAGGAAGACTCCTTGGTGGATCCCGGCTGAACAAGGGTTTCAAGGCTTTCTGGTCGGATGAAAGGTTTCCACCGTTTCTAGAGGCCATGGAGAGGGTAAAGGCATTCCTTTTCCCAGCTCCTGGGAATGGTGGAAAAGGAGGGTGCAGCACAGGGGAGGTAAGGACATAAGACCTACAGCGAGGAAACAGCACCACTGCAGCTCCTCTTCGCAGCTAGAGTGCTGGAAGCTGCAGACCAGTTTCGGCACAAGTTATCTCTAGTCAACTGGGCTCTTAATTCTCACACCCAGAACGTGCAAATTGAAAGGGACTCCAAACCAGTAAGGTCCAATGTCTATACCACAAGAGCTCCAGTCTCGCCCTTTGTCCGTCCCCGCCCACTTCACCTGTTCTCCCCTTGTATATCTCCTCCAATCCCTCCTAGAAAGTCAAAGAGAGGATCCCTAGAATCACTCACAATTGCCCCAAAAGAAACCTTGTGAACTTTCAGTCACACTCTGAAACATCCCTAAAAAGCATTTCGCACTTAAGTTTGAGTTCCTTTACCGTGACCACCCGATTCCGACCACTCTCCGCGACTCCAGTCCTCAGCCCCCAACTTGCCAAGGTGGAGAAAGGGACTGTGGCCCTAACCTGAGCCTGGGTTGGAAAAGACCAAGGTCCCCCGATTTAGCGCGGTCCTCCACGMTCAAAACCGTTGGCAGCCGCCTGCCGCCGCCCCGCCCCTTGCCTTGATAACGTCACCACGCTCGCAGAGGCTCACACCGCATTTGAAGTCTGGGAACCTGATCGCGCGTGCGCAATCCTGGCGACCACGGATTGGTTGATGGAGGGAGGCGGGGTCTGATGAAAGGTGTTGAGGCGGAGTTAATGCCCCGGTTTTGCAGTTAGAGCGCCCAATGGGGCGGGGCTGCTAGGAAACCGGAAGTAACTGCACCACGACTCAGAGCAATTCCGGTGAATCCGGGGTTGGAGTCCCCACCTAGTTGGAGGGATCTGCGGCGGAGAATCCGAGCCTACTGAGTGAGAGCGGTCCTGGAACGAGGTTTACAGTCCCTGTCCTGTCGATGACTGTCCACAACCTATACCTATTTGACCGGAATGGAGTGTGTCTGTACTACAGCGAATGGCACCGCAAGAAGCAAGCGGGGATCCCCAAGGAGGAGGTGATGAGATGGCCCCGGCTGCAGACCGGGTGACCTCGCACCTCCAAACGTACATAGTCCCAGCCCAACCCCTCTTCTCCAAATCCCGGCTGATTCTCAACCTCCACCTGGTCTCTTCCGACAACCAATACCTAACTCTGTCCCTCTCCCTCTAGGAGTACAAGCTGATGTACGGGATGCTATTCTCTATCCGTTCGTTTGTCAGCAAGATGTCCCCGCTAGACATGTACGCCGTGAGAAGGAGGGCTAGTATTGGGAATTTGGGGGCAGAGGGGCTTACTTTGTAGAATGAAAGGGAGATTGGTTCCCAAAACGGGGAGGAGAAATTAGAGAAGCTTAGAACAAGAATGTTGAAGTTTGCAGGAAGGGGAGTAGGGAAGTGGTGAGGTGGTGAAGAGGTTGGAGGTGGGGGCTAAACTGAGGGGTGGAGATGGGAGGTGTCTACTCAACTAGATTCCTACAAACTGTATGCTTAAACAAGAGGGAGTCGACTTTGAAGGATCAGAAGTATTTCTGCCATCTTTAACACCCTCCTCATCTCTGCAGGAAGGACGGCTTCCTGGCCTTCCAAACTAGCCGTTACAAACTCCATTACTACGAGACGCCCACTGGGATCAAGGTTGTCATGAATACTGACTTAGGCGTGGGATCCATTCGAGATGTGCTGCACCACATCTACAGCGCGGTCAGTGTCCCCTTGAGGGATCCTTTCATCAGAACCCCTTAATATCCACAGACAGAAACCCCCCAAAATCCCTCAAGTTTCCAGCCCTAATCCTACTGTGTTGTACATCTGTTGAATTTAAGAGTTTTCTCAGAGGTCTTTAGATCCTTAGACATCCTTAGACAGTTTCTCTTAAGGGAGGGCTTGCCTCCCAGTCTTGGTTCCTTGTGAGTTCATACACCCTTGAGGTTATACTACATTTGGGGTTGAAAATTAGAAATGTCCAGAAAGCCAGGATTTTACACCGTCTTTCTCCACAGCTGTACGTGGAGCTGGTGGTGAAGAATCCCCTATGCCCATTGGGCCAAACTGTGCAAAGTGAACTTTTCCGCTCCCGGCTGGACTCTTACGTCCGCTCTCTGCCGTTCTTCTCTGCCCGAGCGGGTTGAAGCGAGCTACTTAATTCCTCAGGAGAATCTGAACTGCCTGGGGCCCTTCCTAACTTGTGGCCCCCCGCTGTAAGCCCCTCCGTCTACCCTCCTCGAAAGCAAAAGCCCGTCCTCCATCCCGTCCCCTCCTCTTCACAATGAAGCCCACAGGARTCCCTGTATCTCCAACCCGTCCTCTTTCCAGTTTTTAACCCTTATATGACTCCACGAAAAGCCCAGAATAAACTTTTTGTCACCTTCTGCAGCCTGAGCATGTCTGTTTGAGTGGGCCGCCTGGTCCTGCCCCAGATAAAAGCAGAAACTAGGGCGGCTGAGGTTTTGCCCAAGGAATTTTCAATAGCCGCACCGTTGACACTTTGAGCTGGAAATTCTTTTTTGTGTTTTGTAGGATTTTAGCAGCAACCCTTTTTGCTAAAGGGTACTAGTAGTGGACATCCTTCCCCACCCCCAGTCTTGACAATCAGAGTGTCCCCAAACATGTTTCTTGGGGGACATATTCCTCCCGACAAAGAACCACTGAGTAGAGGGAAGGCTGACATGTGTCGGGTCCAGAAAGTGTGGCAACTACGCGCCTAGGATGGATCTCTCTTCTGAGCACACTGAATAATCAAGTCACTGAGCCTTCAGCAGGCGGGGCTCATGCAGATGTGCCCCTGGTCTGGCTGGGAGGCGGGCGGTTCTATGCAGACGAGGGGGGCGGTGCCTGCATGTTGATAAGCGGGGCCGGCTGCCGACGCGGCTGGGAGCCCCAGTAGGTCCCGCTGCGGTTCCGGCTAAAGTGGCATCCCTCTCCCGCCACCCTTTGTCCCTGGGTCCCTACCTTCTGTGGATCGCCCTTGATCTTACCCTCATCCATTCCCTACTCCCTGAACAGCTCCCCCCGTATCTGAATATCTCCACTCCTGGAGCCCCCAGCGTTTCTCCCTTCCCGCCGCAAACCCCACGACCTCCAGCAGCCCGCCCCCGCGGGCCCGATCTGCCAGGCGGCTCCCGCTGCAGCCTCCTCAGCCTTCCCGCTCTCCCAGGGATCGCCTTATTACAATCCCAGGTGTCCGCGCTGGGGTGTCCCTGCTTCTTCCTCCTGTCCCCTCAGAGCCCCCTCCCTCGCCCTGGCCAGCCGGCATGCAGGTGTCTATCGCGTGTACCGAACAGAACCTTCGCAGCCGAAGCAGTGAGGACCGTCTGTGTGGACCCCGGCCGGGCCCCGGGGGCGGTAATGGAGGGCCAGTCGGCGGGGGGCATGGGAATCCTCCGGGGGGTGGCGGGTCCGGCCTTAAGGCCCGAGCCGCTCTGGTTCCCCGACCTCCAGCGCCCGCTGGGGCCCTGCGCGAAAGCACCGGCCGAAGCACTGGCATGAAATACAGGTATGGGGTGGCCGGGCAGCCTGCCCATTTGCTCCCGGTTCGGGACCCCTGAGGCGTCCTTGGGATGGCCGCCAAAACCCTTTCAAACTTTGGTAAAAATGTTCCTTCCGGTCACTGGCACTCTCTTACTTGGTCCTTCTCTTGTTCTCCATCAATACTCCTAACAGGATCAAGTTTAGCAAGGTTGAGTCCTGTCAAACCCAGGGGATGCTCCTGAGTTTCCCTCCTTACCCCTAGGAAGGTTGTGGATGCACGGACCTCCAGGCTCGCCCCCCTCCAATAGTGTCCTTGGGTCGGTGTCCTGGGGAGAGGAGGGAGGGAAACGACTTCTCACTCTGGCCTGCTCTGAGTGTCTGACCCAGATATTGCCCCCACCAGCCCGGAGAGCTGGGTTTCTTTTGACCTCTCAGGGGTCAGGAAGGGGAGGGGACTGGGGCCTGTGGGAATTAAGGTCTACTGTCTTAAATCCTCAGGAATAAAGGACTGGTCTGGATGGAGGGTGGGCTTAAATTTGACATTATCTTAGAGAACTGAGAGACAGGGGCTCCTGATTGGTAGTGAGTAGAGGTCACTGATCTGACCTGGCTTTGTTACCTGAGTAATCTCATACCCTCCATGTGTCTGTCCCAATTGGGAAATTGAGCTGACTACCTGGATGGGACCCCTTGGGAGGAGAAGTGGGCTCACTGGTTAGGAGATAGTCTCCACAAGATAATGGGAGCTGAGAGATGGAGAGGGGAAGAGGCTTTCATGTCACATTTCCCGCCAGGTCTCCTGTTATGTCTTTGTGGGTATAGCCAGAGACCCTGGACTGAGTACCTGAACTTGACTTGGTTTACCTCTGCCATCCTGGAGTCAACCTAAGCATGCCACTCTCTGAAGGGTCTGTACTCACCACAACTATCCACATTCCCTGAAACCCCCTACTCCACACATCCCACAGATGATTCAAATACAGGCAAGAACTCACCCAGAAGAAAGACAAACCAGACAGCACATCTTCAATGCGATAAGAGGAAATAGAGGCATCCAGCCATTTATTGTTCAGTTGTTCTTTTAATAATATTCTTAGGTAATCTGCTATGGTAAGTACTGCCCAATCCCACAGGCCTACTGGGTCTAGTTTCTTTGGACTGAGACACCTTGAGGGCTTCTCAGTCTGGAAGGAAAGGAGCTGGGGGCTGATGACCTAGGTTCATAATGGAAGAGCCAGTCTTTCCCTCTGCTTCTGTATCCTACAGGAATCTAGGAAAGTCTGGTCTTCGAGTGTCCTGTCTTGGCCTGGGTGAGTCAGAACAGGAATTAGGGAAGGGGGCATTCTTTCATGGCCCACTTCCCACAGTTCTCATGTATCTGGCTTCTCTCCTGCAGGTACCTGGGTCACATTTGGTTCTCAGATCTCAGATGAGGTATAAGTGATGGAACCTAGAAGCAGGGTGGGGTGGTGGTAAGGAAATCAGAAAAAGGGACCTGGAAAGGGTTTGAACAGTAAGCATGGGGAAGGAGGGATCTGAGGCTGGAGACTGCAGAAAAGGGAAAGAATATAGAAATAAGGGATGAGGTGCCATGGGTTGGAGTACAGCAAGGGAGGTTACTGAGGGGCAATGGGTGATCTTCAACTCTTTCTCTCACCTTCCTAGACAGCAGAAGATGTGCTGACAATTGCCTATGAGCATGGTATAAACCTGTTTGACACCGCTGAAGTATATGCAGCAGGAAAGTAAGGACTGGGGAGAAAGAACTAAGTTACACTTGGAAGGCTGAGGGAACATCAGGGTTTCTTATTTCCCACTAAAGAACTCTAGGATTTCTGGGAAAACTAAGGTCCAGCCTTTCAGGACATGGGCCCCCAAAGCATTATAGGAGTTATAGTCCTAGCATCCATCCCTCTCTAGCTTACAGGCCAGTAGGCATACTGTGTAAGTCACATTAAATAAAACTAACAAATAAAATTTTTATCTTGAAGGAAAAAAAAAAAAACTAACAGCTGGGTGCAGTGGCACAACCCTGTAATCCCAGCAATTCAGGAGGCTGAGGCAAGAGGATCCCAAGTTTGAGGCCAGCCTCAGCAACTTAGCAAGACCCTGTCTCAAAATAAAAAAATGAATGAGAATGTAGCTCAGTGGTAAAGTGTCCCCGGGTTTTACCAGTAACAAACAAAGAAATAAACAAAACCCCAACAAACATATCTTGAGTATCATTATGTACAACTACATATGAACTACAAAGTTGTATTTTCATCAGGCCAAATAATATACCTGTGGCTTCTCACTAGGAATAGCTAAAACCTAGAATGYCTATTCTGCCTCTTCTCCATCTTGCAGACCCTTCTGCTCATCTTTAAGACTTAGCCTAAATGTCAGTTTCTCTAAGAAGCTTTTATCCAACTCCCCAAAATTGGTCACCATCCCCTATAAGCTTACTGCCTTCTGACACAATTAATTACTGGTTTAACTAGCTATATTTTCTGCTTATATCAGAGGCTTTTCCCTCCATGGAACTTGTCTTGCTCTTCCCCAACTCCCTTCACAGAGCCTAGCACAGAGCAGGCATTATTCTGCTATAAGATCAACATGCTCTCAAAAAGTGCAGTGTAATCCCAGCAGTTTGAAGGCCATGGCAGGAGGATCGAAAGTTCAAAGCTAGCCTCAGCAACTTAGTGAGGCCCTAAGCAACTCAGTGAGACCCTGTCTCTAAATAAAATACACACATAAAAAAAGGGCTGGAGATGTTGCTCAGTGGTTAGGGGCCCTTGGATTCAATTCCCATTTAAAAAAAAAAAAAAGTACACAGTGGGCCAGATATATAGCTCAGTGGTAAAGTATTTGCTAGCATACATGAAGCTCTGGGTTCCATCCCCAAGGCCAGCCTCAGCAACTTAGCAAGACCCTGTCTCAAAATTAAAAAATGAATGAGAATGTAACTCAGTGGTAAAGTGTCCCTGGGTTTTACCAGTAACAAACAACATTGACATAATGTGTATGGTCTAAGTGGTTACAACAAAAAACACAGGAAATCAAACAATAGTAAAACATTTCAGTAAGAGTTCACTCTATTGCACTATTCGTAACCTGTCGGCCTGGTTGTAGCTGGCAGATTCCATTCCCGTGCCACAGCATCTCCAGCAATACATAACTGACCAGTGGCTTTCAGTTTCAGGTCTTGGAGTCAGTGTTTTATGAGGTGCTGTGGGTTAAAAAAAAAAAAAAAGAAAAGAAAGAAAAAGAGTTCACCATAACAATTTAAGACTTGGGCTAGGGTTGTGGCTCAGTGGTAGAGCGCTCACCTCGCATGTGCAAGGCCCTGTGTTTGATCCTCAGCACCACATAAAAATAAATAAATAAAATAAAGGTATTATGTACAACTACAACTAAAACATATTTTTTTTTAAAAAAAGCAACTTAAGAGTTGACACAAGTTAGCTCATAATTATGTGCTAAAGAATTGTGTAACCAATTCAAATGAAGTTAACAAGAAGGACTGATCCATAGACTGTGGCCATCAGAGCACATTCTATGAATGAGGCAGAATCTGAACTGAGCTTAGAATGAATGAAGCAGAATCTGAACTGAGCTTAGAATGGTGGGAAGTTCTGAGAAGGGGGAAGGCAACCCAGATGGTTGAAACCAGACAAGGCAGTGTTCTCCCTAATTCTACCAGTCTGTTCCTGTTCCCTCATCCTATTCTTTCCCTTTAGCAACCCACAATAGGGCTTGATACATAGTTGAAACACAAGAGGTATTTGTTGAATTAATAAATTAATATTGTATGACTATATCCCTAGCTCCTGAAGCCACTCTTATTTAGTTCAAAATGAAGTTGAGAATCCAAATGGGCTTCTGTTTTTTGCTTTACAAAAGAGCAAAAGGTGGGGAGGAGGGGAAAGAATTGATCCACCTTGGAGAGATCAGTGTCTTTGCATTGTTTTTCTTCCAGGGCTGAAAGAACCCTAGGTAACATCCTCAAGCACAAAGGATGGAGGTGAGACCATGTTTTGGAGGGTTTCTGGGAACATGATCATCCAAACATCCTTTACTTTTTGCTTCTCCCATTTCTATTTTGCCAGGAGATCAAGCTATGTCATCACCACCAAGATTTTTTGGGGAGGACAGTAAGTGACTATTCCACTGTGACTGGGGAGAAGTGTATGGGGGGGTGAGGACTGCTGTCCCATACTTGCTATTATAGGTCCCCATCCTGCCTGTGAGGACTCATGCAATCCTCATGGCTCCAGGCCAACCCTGGTCCCCTATCTTTGTTACACCTCTTCTTTGACTTACCTTTTTCCTATAGGGCAGAAACTGAACGAGGCTTAAGTCGCAAACACATCATTGAAGGTGAGAATTAGAGACTGGGGAAACTCAAGTGGATGGGCATAGAAATCAGAGGAGTTGGGAACATTTTCAAAAGCTTTGAATTGGAGGCTTTAGGTGGCCATGGCAATGGAGTAGTCAGAATTCATAGGAAACAGAAACTGAGGAACTTACCGTTTTCTCCTCACCCCTACCTAAGGCTTGCGAGGATCCCTGGAACGCCTCCAGCTGGAATATGTGGATATCGTCTTCGCCAATCGCTCAGACCCTAACAGTCCTATGGAGGGTAAAAGTAGCATTCCCAAACCTGATAGCCCTTCAAAACTGGGCACTTCCTTAAACCCTCAAGAAGCTAGCCCCAGCTCAGAAGGCCTCCCACACTCCACAGCAGAAGCTTAGACTCCAGGACTTGGACAGGGAGGGAGGTGGAAAATATATATACCTTTTTGGCTGCATGGAGATACCTGGGGGGATCTTGGTAGGGCAGGCAGAGGTCTGCAGATCTGGTAGATTCTAGGGGTCTAGCAGTGAAGCTCTTCCTTTCCTGTGTGCCTAGAGATTGTGCGAGCTATGACCTACGTCATCAACCAAGGGCTGGCCCTATATTGGGGGACATCCCGATGGGGGGCTGCAGAAATCATGGTGAGTCTGTAACCCCACCTCCCCCATCCCAAAACTGGTTCCCACTTTTCACATGGCTACTCCAGACTCCACTGCACTGGAGGAGGAAGTGAGGAAGAAAATGGAAAGAGTGTTCTGACTCCCATGTCCTCTCTACCTCACCCAGGAAGCCTACTCCATGGCCAGACAGTTTAATCTGATTCCTCCGGTGTGTGAACAAGTGGAGCACCACCTATTTCAGAGGGAGAAAGTGGAGATGCAGCTGCCTGAGCTCTATCACAAGATTGGTGGGTGTGCAGCCCCATATCCCTGCCTTTCACTCAGCCTCACTTGTGGCCTAGGTACCTTTCTCACACCCAATCCTCTTGCTCTTAGGTGTTGGTTCAGTCACTTGGTCTCCTCTGGCCTGTGGTCTCATTACTAGCAAATATGATGGGCGACTCCCAGATACCTGCAGGGCCAGCATCAAGGTGAGATCTGAGATGGTGGAACCGGGGCCATCTGGCATGCTATGGGTGGTGGTAAAGTCTTTTGCTGATACTCCTCGTCTTCCAGGGCTACCAGTGGCTCAAGGACAAAGTACAGAGTGAGGATGGCAAGAAACAACAAGCCAAAGCCATGGACCTTCTGCCCATTGCTCACCAGCTGGGCTGCACTGTGGCCCAGCTTGCTATTGGTGAGACACTGCCAGTCCTGGACCCCTGTCTTCTCTTGAAACCTCACAAACCTACCCTAAGACTGGTTTGTCCCTGGGAATTACCCTCTTCTTCAGAAATACCACTGAAACCAGTATGCTCACTCATCCCCATCAGTTCTTTTGTTTTTGTTTTTTCCTCCTCTGGCTCCAGCCTGGTGTCTCCGCAGTGAGGGTGTCAGCTCGGTTTTGCTGGGGGTGTCCAGTGAAGAGCAGCTGATGGAACACCTGGGCTCACTACAGGTGAGTTTGGAGACTAAGTGGCAAGGTTCATCTCTGTCCCCTTCCCCAGGAGTCAAAGCTACACTGTCCAACCCAGAATAGCCCGATGAGGKTAGCCACTAGAAAGTCCTCACTTTGCAGGTGAGAGGTCCAAGATGACAAAGTGCAGCAGGGTCACAGCTGTGACTTGCTTTTTGCTAATGGTCCCTACTGTGGTGCTTCCTCGGGTCTCTGAACCTCTTGACTTTCCTCAATACCCGGGATGTACGGCCTCGTCCACCACCCCATTCTCCTCCAGGTGCTGAGCCAGCTTACACCGCAGATGGTGATGGAGATAGACGGGCTCCTGGGGAACAAATCACATTCCAAGAAATAGTCCCTGGGGAGCGCAGAGACTCAACCTGATGCCGCTGCACCCGCCCAAGAATCGCATCTCCGCAGCCGCCCCTTTACTCCACCCCCGTATCCCTCCACCCAGCGGCCAGAACCAGGGTAGCCCCGCCCACTGCAAATTCTGGCTTGAGTAGCGATGCGCATGAACMAAGCCATATCCTTCCGCAGTGGGGCTTGAGAGAAAAAGTAATCCGCCCACCCCGTGCTGCGTCCTTTTTAGGCCTTCTTCCTAATCCTGGGCATGAGCTATGGGCGTACACTCTCTGCCGTTTGGTCTCGCTCCTTTCTCTCTTCTCCCTTGTGCCGGGGCCCAGAAAAAACACGGCAGATGCAAGAACATGCAGAGTACCTCAAAAGTGACCCTTGAAATGTCATCAAGGGGTAAGGACCTAATAAGTGAGTTATAATGTTATCTGGGACATAGGAAATGTGGTTTTACGATATTCCACACAAAGGCAGCCAGGCTGGTCCTGGCTGGAAGAAAATGAAAATCTCTGGGAAACCAGAACTCTACCTCCCAGCTCGGAGGTGCAAGACTTCAATCTAGAACTACTGTAATACCTTGTTCTTGCAGCGAGGGGCCAGAGTGGGGAAAACAGTGACAGCACCAGCAAAAGCAGAGGGAAATTTGATAGCAGATGTACAGTGTGATCTGGCCAAAATTGCCCAGGTGGCTCTTGGAAAACAAAGTTGGGTGGTGCTCTTGCATTAATGATAGTCTTTGGGCAGAGAGATGGGGCTGACAAACACCTGGGAACAAAGTTTTGAGCCTTGAGCTGGACTTCCTGTCTGCCAGTAGAGGACTGTAGTCTTCCTCCTGCAATAACCCTAAAGCAATAATGATGGCCCGTCTTCTGTAAGATTTCCCAGGGAACTGTAAATAAAATTTCAGCTTGATCCTCACAGCGTCTGAAATTGCAGGGGATGGAGGGTAAGGTTTTAGCCTCACATACATGGTCCTCTTGCCCCCTGTCATTAGAAAACTCTCAGCACCAGTTTTCTCTTCATTCAGCTCAATGACGCAGGAACGGGGCTCCTGGTCACTGCTAATGAAGGACTTAGGCTCTAGGTACCCCACGCATGGGTCTTATTCCTTCCTTTTTTAGCGCCTAGTGATCTGGCTTCCTAGTTTTGTTGCTCCTCTGGTTGGCCATTCATCCAGAATGAAAGTCAGTTGCCTGACCCTCTTGCCCTTTTTGTGTTTTTAAAGTTTTATTAGTTATACTTCTTACTTGACTTCTTTCTCTCTCACCCTGTACCCACACATCTAAAGAACTATAAGAATAGTTTTCTCATTGCTAAATAAAAGACTGTTCTGAAGTAGAGGCTTCAAGATTTAGAAGAAGAGCGGCACAGAGGAGGTGCACATCTGTAATCCCAGCAGCTCAGGGAGCTAAGACAGAAGGATCTTGAGTTCAAAGCCAGCCTCAGCAATGAGGAGGGGCTAAGCAACCCARTGAGACCCTGTCTCTAATAAAATACAAAATTGGGCTGGGGATGTGGCAACCCTAAATTAAATCCCTGGTACCCCCCACCCCTCAAAAAAAAAAAAAGATTTAGTGGAAGAGAGGTCAAGTACAGAGAGAGGGAAAGAAGTGTGTGTGTGGGGGGGGTGTATTTGTGTGTCTTTGTACTGTGTATTGATCTCAGGAGTGCTTTACCAGTGAATTACATCTCCAGTCATTTTTATTTTTTATTTTGAGACAGAGTCTTTCTAAATTGCTAAGGTTGACCTTGAACTTGAGACCTTTCTGCCTCAGTCTCCTGAGTTGCTGGGATAATGGAAGAGTTATCATTTTAAAAGGAAAAAAAAAAAAAAGAAAACCAGTGATGTGAGGGTAAAAGAAAAGCAGAATCAAATGGTGTGATGTCAGATATTGCTCCTATTTTCTTCCCCAAAGGACTCTGATTTCCTGGAGACAGAAAGTGGGTGGAAAGTTACAACCCTCAAAGATCACAAGGCAGAGGAGGATGAGATCTGCCTTCCTTAAATACAACCTCACCATCTCCCTTCTATCCCTCTTCATCCTGCCTTGATCCTGAAGCTGGGAGCACAGAGTAAAACCTATTTCCAAAAGAGAGAACCCAGGAGCATGCCATTTACTGGATTAGCAACCAACAAGATCAACTAATTAATACTTACATCCACCCCTATCATCTCCCACTCATTTTGGAAGACTGTGGAGGAAACAAAGAAGTAAAATGTATGACTAAACTATGATTAGTTCTTCTGTAACAAACACACAAGAATTTATCAATTCAAAATAGTATTCTCCTTAAATAGTTCTCTTGGAGAGTTATGCATTTCTTGTAATGTTGCCTACCCCATTGCTGAATACATTTTAAAATTCCTCTTAGAATTGCTTTCAGAGGCAGTTTAGAAGCCCCTTGGTGGGGGGGGGATGCCAAAAATAAAAACCTTCCTTTACTGTCATACCTCCTATGTATATAAACATTAGCCATATTTCTCACCCACCTTATTCATGAATTTAACAAGTATTTGTTTATTGAGTTCTGCTATAGTATGGCACAGGGACACAGTGGTGAACAAAACCAGACTCAGAACAACTGTTGTGCAGTTTACTGGTGGGAGAGAGAAACAATCAAATGACCACCAACCAAATACAAACTTCAATTGTCCAAAGTCCAGAGGGGGAAAAGAGGGGAGGGATGAAGGGAATAGCATACACAAAGGCCTTTTGAAGAAGGGAACTTGCAAGCTGTGTTAGCTTTTCATTGCTTTGACAAAATGCCTGATTAAACAAATTAAAGGGAGGAAAGATATTTTGGCTCACGGTTTCAGACTTTTCAGTCCATGGTCACTTGGCCCCTTGCTTTTGGACCTATGGTGAGGCAAAATATCATGATGGAAGCATACTGGAGAGGAAACTCTCATCTCATGGTGGTCAGGAAGCAAAGGAAAAGGAAGGGTCCAGGTCTCAATATCCCCTTCAATGTCCCTAACTTCCTGTTATAAGGCCCCACCTCTAAAGGTTGTACCCTGATAGCACCTCCAGCTGAGGACCAAGCCCTTCAACACATGAGCCTTTCTTTGGGTGACATTTAAGATTGAAACCATAACATAAGTCAAAGGTTTCCAGAGCCAAGGTTTCCAAGGCAGGAACAGAAGAAAAATGTGAGGCATGGGTGGAGTTGGAACACACAGAGCATTACAGAGCGCTTTAGAATATCTTTATCCTAAGGACAGCAGGAAAATCTTTATATAAGTTATCTTTTGACACACAACAAATCACTCCAAAATTTAGTGGCTTAAAAAGTTATTTTTTCCATGATTCTGTGGGTTAGCTGGGAATTCCTTTCTGTTTTCACCTGAGTTTGTTCATGAGGCTGTGTTCAACTGGCTGGTTAACAGCAGAATTCCAAGATGGACTCATTAGCATGTCTCATAGTTAGCACTGACTCTTGGTTGGGGCACCTCTGTTCTCCTCCACGTGGCCTCATCCACCAGTGGTCTAGCCTTACTTCCTTGCATGGTCTCAGGGCAGCCTCCAAGGAGACAAAGACATAAGCTGCAAGACCTCCGAAAGACCCAGAATGTACACATCACTTCTGCCACATTCTATTAGTTAAGGCTGATCACAAAGCCAGCCCAGATTCAAGGTATAAGGAAACAGACCCCAATTTTTGAAAGAGAAGCGGCAAAGCTGTGTTGCAAAGGAAATGGGGGCATTAAACTATCACATTAAAAGATTTTAAACAGGAATGGAAGGACTATGTGGTAGGACATGATTGAGTCTGACATTTGTAAATATCTAAAAGCCTACAGAGGCCGGAGTGCTTGTGGATAGACTGATTAGGTGGTTTTTGCTAAGGTCTAAGCAAGAGATGATGGTATGGGATGGGAATGGGAAAGATGGTAGAATGAATCAGACATAATTTTCCCATGTTCATAGATGAACAGTGTAACTCTACACCATGTACAACCACAAGAATGGGAAATTATACTCCATGTATATATGATATGTTAAATTACATGATGGGCAGGAGGTGGCAATTAATAAGTAAATGGATTAGAGAGATGAATTTAAGCAGCAAAATGACCCAAGCTTGGCAATGGGTCAATAAAAGAAGGTAAGGGAAAAGGAGGTGTCAAGGGTAACACCTTGGTTTTTGGAGTTGGGTCAAGGAAGGGTTGGGAAACACTAGAAGTACTAGCTTGATTAGGGAGATAATTACTTTGTTTTTTGTATGTTGTTTGATTTTTTTGGTATGGGGATTGAACCCAGAGGCACTCTACCAYTGAGCTAAATCCTCAGTCCTTTTAATTTTTTTTTTTTTTTGGTACCGGGGATTGAGCCACATCACCAGCCCTATTTTGTATTTTATTTAGAATGCCTCACTTTTGCTGAGGCTGGCTTTGAACTTGCAATTCTCCTGCCTCAGCTTCCCCAGCCACTAGGATTATAGGTGTGCACCACCGTGCCCTCCAAGTCCTTTTAATTTTGAGACAAGGTCTCATTAAGTTGATGAAACTGACCTTAGACTTGTGACCTCTCATCCCAGTCTCCCAGGTCGCTAGGTTTACAGGCCACCACACCTAGCTATCAGTCTGAATTAAAGATAAACAAGAAAGGCTGTGGAGCTAGCAATGGGATACATAAATCTGGAGCTTGGTCTGTTGACTGTCAAAAAAATTGGGAACATTTATATAATAAAATCTACCATAAAAGACTAAGATCTGGGGGGAGGGAGGAGTGGAGGTTCACCAGATTGGACAGGGGAAATGGGGGGAAGGGAGAGGGGATGAGAATGGGAAAGACAGTAGAATGAGATATAATTTTCCCATGTTCATAGATCAATACATGAACAGTGTAACTCCACACCATGTACAACCACAAGAATGGGAAGTTATACTCCATTTATGTATGAAATGTTAAAATACATTCTGTCATGTATAACTAAAAGAACAAATAAAAAATACAAGAAACTAAAATGAAAAAAAGACTAAGATTTATCACCAGTTGAAGATATTTAAAAACGTGAGGCACACCTTTTCTTTCTTTTTTTTTTTTTTAAGAGAGAGTGAGAGAGGAGGGAGGGGGAGAGAGAGAGAGAGAGAGAGAGAGAATTTTTATTTATTTATTTTTAGTTCTCGGCGGACACAACATCTTTGTTGGTATGTGGTGCTGAGGATCGAACCCGGGCCGCACGCATGCCAGGTGAGCGCGCTACCGCTTGAGCCACATCCCCAGCCCGAGGCACACCTTTTCAAAGGGTAGTTCCAAAACGTTTTGAATTATGATAGCATAAGTAGATGGAATAAGTAGACAGGTTCCAAGTGACCATGAAGACAAAAAAACTCCAAAGTTCTGAAATGTTTGCTTAAAAATAATGGTATACCTCCTCACAAGACTGTCTTCTAGGTTTAAACAACTTAATGAAAAAATAAAACCAGCTCTACATTGTAATAAGACCATAAATACCCTGGGTGGAAAGAAGCCTATCTTGTATTAACCAAATGTAAGATGCATGTTGAAAATATCTGGTACTGAGAAGTGAAATTAGGTAGGGAGCACAGGATGACAATAATAATAGCTAATGTCAGGTGCAGTAGCATAGCCTGTAATCCCAGCAACTTGGGAGGTTGAAGCAGGAGGATCACAAGTTCAAGGCCAGCCTCAGCAACTTAGTGAGGACCTAATCAACTGAGCAAGACCCTATCTCAAAATAAAAATATAAAAAGGGCTGGGGATGGGGCTCCGTGGTAAAGTGTCCCTGGATTCAATCCTCAAGGCAAAAAATAAATAAATAGCTAATACTTAGTATTTACTATGCAATAAGCACCATTTTAAGCCCCTATTTACACAAACTTTTCAGTCCTCACTATTGTTATCCACATTTTGTAGAAGAGAAAATCAAGACCCAGAGAGATTACTTGCTCAAAGTGCTGCAAATGCTGGTGGAGGTTAGGGTTTGTACTCAAGCCAGTTGTTTAGAGGCTGAGTTATTACTCTCTCCAAGAGAACCTGGGAGGTAGGTCCAAGAGAGCAGTGTGAGGAGGCAGCTGAGTGTGGGTGCCACACAATGAAGGAATGTAGGTTGTGAGTACCATGTCCTGTTTATCTGGGAGGAAGTCAGACTCCTGAGTCAGAAGTCATGTTGGATTGTTTTGCTAGAGCCATCACACTGTGTGGGTGTCCAAGCCTGGATACTCTGGAGGGTACAGATTCCCAGCATTCCTAAGTCTTAAGGTCCTGGAATCTAGATCCCTCTCTTAGGCTGAGAAGTGGGTTGAACAGTTTGGGGAGGATGAAATTTGAGAAATCAGTCTTAACAAGAACATAGGGAGGTCCTTTGAGGGCTGAGGGCTGAGACCCCGGGTAGCATCCATGCAGATATCCAGGAGCCCACTACAGATTGGCAGAACAGGCACTATAACTGGCTTAGTAAATTTGTTTGAGGAGACTCTTGAAAGAGTGAGTAACTTAAAAATAAGGCTGAGGGACCTTTGGTGCCAGTGACTGAAGGCAGGAGTGCAAGAAGGGGCCTGGGGATTTGCAAACAGTATAGTTAAAGAGTGCTGGCATTGTGCTGGAGGTGAAGAAGTTCGTGTAGGGGACAATGCAAGGTGTGCCCCCCAGGATAATCCGGACACCTCCTGGCCCTCCTCCCGCATTCCGCCAACGCTGGCATTCCGGGCCTCGCGCCTCCACCGCCCCCCACGCGTGCCGCGGAAGGGAGTGGCCACACAGCCACCTGACGCCTCGGGGGCAGAACCTCACTATTAAAAGAGACGAGAGGCCGCGGCGCGGGCCCCAGGACAGGACCCGGGCCACAAGAAGGTTCGCTTGCTCTGTCCACGGCTGAGTGAGCGGCACCCTAAAATCTGTGGCGGGTACGATGCAGCTCCTAGTGAGGGTGCCCTCTCTTCCCGAGCGAAGCGAGCTGGACTGCAATATCTGCTACCGGCCCTTCAACCTCGAGAGCCGGGCGCCCCGTCGCCTACCTGGCACGGTGCGCGCCCGCTGCGGCCACACGCTCTGCACCGCCTGCCTGCGCGAGCTGGCGGCGCGAGGCGAGGGCAGCGGTGCGGCCGCTCGCGTGGTGCGCCTGCGCCGCGTCATCACGTGTCCTTTCTGCCGCGCGCCCTCCCCGCTTCCGCGTGGCGGCGTCACAGAGGTCGCTGTGGACCCAGGCCTGTGGTCACGACTGGAGGAAAAAGCGCGGGCTGCGCGCGAGCGAGATGAGGCGGGGAGCCTGGCCAAGGAAAGCGGCGAAGGAGAGGCAGACGACGAGGAAGAGGAGTGCGAGGAGGGGGCGGGCCCTAGAAGCGCGGGGTGGCGCGCTCTCCTGCGGCTCTGGGATAGGGTCCTGGCGCCCGCGCGCCGCTGGCGGCGTCCGCTGCCTAGCAACGGTGAGAGCAGATCCTGGGGGAACGCTAGGGTTCGGTTGCTTCCTTCTGCTACTAAATCTTCTTTCTCATAGTGCTCTACTGTCCAGAGATCAAGGACATTGCCCACGTGACCTGCTGCACGATGTAACCGAGTAACGGAAGCTATGGCAGAAGAAAAGTGGGAGCTGCAGCCTCAGGCGTGCTTTAGTACAGGGGACTGATGTCAAGACTACCCCCTCCGATCCCGGTATTGGCACGTGATGGAGTTGAGCCAGGGCAGAAGGAAACGCCCTGGGAGATGTTGATGCTGAGCTGGGAGCCTCCTAGACAAACTCGCCCCCATCTACTGATTGCCAGCATTACATTTTCAGGCCCAGGGATGATATAAACAAAGCCTACATTACTGTGGGAAGAAAACAGACTGTTTTCTTAGCTGTGGCTTTGGCTTTTGTCCAGGGCCGCTGTGGTGTGTGGGAGCAACAGGTCCCATTTTAGCAGTTGTCAATGGTTTGAATATTTTAAAAAGATGGAATGAGAAAGAGGCTAATTTTCATGGCATGTTAATTTCACTTCTCTGGCATGTAAGGATGTTGGTATGCCTGTTGTCTCCCTACTCCTAGTTCTGTTCCAGAAATTACTGAGATGCCTCCCCGCCTATGATTAAGTCCTTGCTTCATTTCACAACCTCTCTTCAGTCTGCTAGGGCAGGTATTCGACGGGCCAGAGCACATCATATGAGACAATTAGGGTTTATCAAGGGTAGCTCAGTAGTAGAGCGCTTGGCTCGCACGCGTGAGGCCCTGGGTTCGATCCTTAGGACCATATAAAAATAAAGATATTGTGTCCATCTACAACTAAAAACCTTTTATTTTTAAGAAGACGAAAGGAGAGTCATTTGGTAACATCATCAAAATATAAACTTTTTATATTATCTGTATTTTTTAGTCACAGGGACACCCTGGCACTACTGAAAAAGGTGCTTTTATAATTTTAAACTTGTGTCCTGTAATGAAAACCTTGCCTATTGCATGCTGTGAATGCTATTTTATTACATACCTATAAATATCTTAAGAGTAGAGTCATGGTCAAGGATCGACAGTGTTGGTGTCAGTGTGGAGCTTGTTGGAAGTGTAGAATCTCAAGATCCCAAATTTACTGAATTAGATTCTGATTCTGTGTGATCTGTGTGCATGAAAAGTTTAAGAAGTATTGGTCAAGATCCTAGACACTCTAAGATATCTTCTGTGGACAGATGATTTAAAACACAATCCATATACTATCTTATTGAAAGGTCTAAATATCATTCTATTGCTGAAGAAGTTATTGTATTACATTTTTTCTGAGTTAAAAATGTGAATTTAAGCTGGGTGTGGTGGTTCGTACCTGTAATCCCAGCTACTCAGAGGCTGAGACTGAAAGAGGTTGAGACTGAAGGATGGCAAACGCCATCTACTCCACCTCAAAAAAGTGACAAGTATGGATCCTGGTTTAGCTTTGTCTCTAAGCTTTATTATTATTGACAAGTTGTGAAAGTATGCATTTATTTTTAGACTAGAAACTTTTTGTGTGCTACTAGGGATTGAACCAGGCACTCTACCTTTGAGGTACATCTCCAGCCACCCCCCCCCTTTTTAATATGTTGAGGCAGGGTCTCACTAAATTGCTGAGGCTGGCCTCCTCAGCCTCCCGAGTCACTGGAATTACAGGAATGCTCTACACCTGGATAAGTCTCCATGTTCCTGGATTTATTTTGCTTGTTTTGCAGAATTGGGGATTGAACCCAAGGTACTTTACCTCTGAGTTACATCCCCAGCCCTTTATATTCTGACAGGATCTTGCTAAGTTGTTTAGGGCCTCAACTTAGGAATCCTCCTGCCTCAGCCTCTCCAGCAGCTGAGATTACAGGTTTGTGCCACTGTGCTTGGCTTTTAAAAATTTTTTGATTTTGAGACTGTCTTGCCAAGTTGCCAAGGGTGGCCTTGAACTTGTGATACTCTTGTTTCAGCCTCCTGAACTGCAGGGATTAAAGGCATGCACACTACACCCAACTAAACATGTATTTGGCATTTTCCTTTTCTTAACTCTCAGTTTAAATGTTCCTTTTTTGAGCGCTGTTTTTCCCCATCCTTTGTAACATAATGGCTTTTTCCTTTTATTTTCTGAGTGTACTCTACTAAGTAGAAGCTACATGGGAGCCTTGACTAACTTGTGACTTTTATCTCCAGGGCCAAACACAGTGTTCATGTACAGTAGATATTCAATAAATGTTTGTTGCATATCTCTTATTTTTTGAAATAGCCTTAGGAATAAAGGGTTTGGCCTTGCTCAGCTTCTGAAAGCTTCTGTTAGTGAACAATACATGCCAAGGTAGTGTCTTAGCAGTTCACATCTCTGGCACTATTGCAGGTCTGACCCCTAACCCTTAAAAACAACAACAATAACAAAAGTACCTGTACTTCATATGAAATTGAACCTATGGAGCTGTAGTGACCTCTACTGACTCTTACGGGAACTAAGCATTAAAGGACTTGAAGGCAATTTTGACTCCTTGTCAGGCACTCCTCCCACTGTACCTCTGTCAAGGAAGCCTGCTCCCTCTCTATACTCCATTGAAGCCACAAAGCCACACAGGGATCCTGCTCACCCTCCTCTACACTGAGCTCATCACACAGCTGACGTTGGAAAAAGGGTCCAGTTTTAGTGAATGATTCAGAGACAAAAATGAGGTAAAGGAAAGTCACAAGTTAAAAAAGGTGGGGGCGGGGGAGAAAAAGACAGATGATACGAAATGGCAGAAAGCAATAATTTTTTATCCCTTTCCCACCCAAGAACTCCCTCAGCCAAAATAACAGAGCACACAGAAAGGAAAGTATAATTTATATGTACAACCAATAAACCTGATACAGAAGAGGGGACTGGGACAGACCAGGAGTGGGTGTGAAGAGACTGGGAAAGGGGCAGCAAGAAAGTGAAGGGGCAGCAATGAGGAAGTGGGAGGTTCGCCATGCAAACTGCCACTCCCCAACCCCTCCTAGAAAGGGGGAATGCCCACATCTCCCTAGCCTGCCCTCCACTATGTTGCTCTGKTCCCACAGGCAAGGTAGTCCCCTAACTAGGTCCCCCTGCCTGGCTCACTCACATTTAGTCTGTAACCAGGCTTTGAAAAGGAAAGGTAAGTCCCTCAGGAACCTGAGTGGCAGAGTTGGGGGCTGCCCCCATGTCTGGCCGGCATATTCTCTCCCCGCCTTTCTAGGTTACCTGGGTTCCTAGATCAGATTGGGGAGCTCCTCTTTGGCTTGAGGGAGTATCGCCCAACCATTACTTTCTTTGTGGGGGTGGTCCTTGGTACCTAGGGAGTGGGGTAAGTTTCCCAACACAAGATGGCGGTACACAGGAGGTAACTGAGCCAGTGAATGGCGCCTTTATTCTGAGGCTGAACAGCAATAGACTCCCTCCCTCATAGCTGCTCCACCCTTCATTTGGGGAGAGGTAGGGGAAGGTAACATGCAGCCACCCTTCCTCTTCCCTTCTCCCTCCCAGGGTTCATTTTCATTCCTCTCTAAAAGTACCCCTCCTCTCTTTGAAGCTCTTCTTCCCACAAAAGTTCCTAAAGGCCAGGCAAGGCTAATCCCCCACTTCTGCAAGAGGTGAAGCTGATATGGCAGAGGCTCCATCTCTTTCCTCCTGACAACCATTTACTGGGAAGCTGTGTATATTTGGCAGTGGGGGGATAAAGGTACTTGGAAGACCCAGCTAACCATCTCCCACCCAGACCACTTCACACCAGCACAGCCTTCAAAGCTTGGTGGGAAAGGTGTATAGGGATGGAAAGACAAGGGTCCCTTCTTGAAGAGAGGAGTTATAGAGGGGCAAAGGGGCTTTTAGCCCAATGGCGGCCCAAGGGGTGGAGAAGACGGAGAACTGGCAGCAGGCCCCAGGGCCTGAGCAGGGGGTCGGCCTCTGGGACGGGGCCTGGGTGAAGGGCAGGCCTGGGATCCAGTCAGTCGTCTATACAGATCACCTCCCCGGCTCTGGGCTCCTTCCGATCCAGCCCGTCTGACACCAGTGCCCCCACCATTTCCTTCTCCTTCTTCACCAGCACTGGAGGGCCGTTGGTGGCGGCTGTTTGGAAAGGAGTAAGGAAAGATCAATCCCCACATTGCTCCCAAATGTTACTTCTGAACATTAATATACTCTTACCACTACCACTTCCCAATTTTCTTGGGTAAGGGTGGGAAGACCAGGGCGAAGCTCCCTCCCTAAGATTCTCCATATGACTGAATGCATGTTCCAACTCTCACTCTACCCCTCTGAATTCATGTTCACTTTCCCTTGAGGTAACCCAGATGGAGGAGGCTGGTATGGGAGATACCAAGCCACAGAACCACTAAAATACTGGGTGAGTTTTTTTGACAATGGGGACAGAAAAAGAGTTAAGAAAGGGATGGGTAGAATGAAGCCCAGGACAACTCCATTCCCTAGTACTGGACACATGCAAGGAAATGAGATAGCTACAGCAGGACAAGGAAGCTGAGCAGCGATGAGGCTTGGCAAAGAAGAAGTGGGAAAAGCGGGAATTAGAAGCACCAGCTGACCTGTGATGAAGGACCCTGCAGGCATCTGGCTGTAATTGGCGCCTGCGGCGGCCAGGGCCCCTACGGGTGCGGCGTTGAAGGCCGCCCCGTACCCCGGAGGTGTGGCGTAGGGACCCGGGGGGAAGGCCTGAAATAGAAAGCAAGCTGAGGTTAGTTAATCCATAGTCTTTAAGAGGAAAGATGGATGTATGGGAACAAAAGCCACATTCCAGAACTACTGAGGGGTGTAACAGGCAGGGAGACTCACTCAAGGGTGAAGACTGAGGTCTAGCAGGTGATTTTTCCATATGGTATAGGATTCTGATGGAAGTGTTTGTGTGTGTGAAGGAGGTGCACCGAGAGGGAAAATGAGTTAGGGGGAAAGAGGGTTACCGGTGTGGGGTGAGGCTCCGTGCCCTTGCTGGCCAGCCGGCTGAGGATGCTGCGCTCGGACATCTGAAGGCGGGCTGCGATGGGGGGTATTCGGGACAGCGTGGCTGGCAGGCGGGTCACGTCCGCCTTCATGTCGCTCAGCAACTCCTCCAGCTGGTTCAGAACTGGGGCCCGGGCCACGGAGAAAGAAGGGCAAGAGAAAGACAGGGAAAGAGAGAGATGGAGCCAGGAAAAGCGATAAGGAGTCAGATGGACAGATACAGTCAGAAAAATAAAGAGGAAGACACAGACGTCAAAGAACCAGAGACAAGTGACAGAAGCAATAGAAGAGAGCAACAAAAAAGTAGACAGAAAAAGAATGACTCAGGAAAGTGTCAGGAAAAAGAGAGAGACCAGATCATCACAGAGGACAGATGGAGAGAAACAAGAAAAAGGAGAAATGGGAGAAAAGAGAGGTAGGGGAGGATATTGGAAGACATGGGGGCGGGGAGTTGTCAGAACATCCCATACTGGAAGAGTGAGGTTGGGGGATTGGGGATGATGGGGAGGAAATAGTCAGGAGGTGTGGGAGGTGGTCAGTGGTATCCAAGGTTTAAGGAATCCAGGTTTTAATATGTAAGGCGAGAGGAGGTTAGAGGGTCAGCATTATAGATTCAATGAATTAGAACAGGGATCAAAGGGGCCAGGAATCAGTCACTATACCAGGCAGGATTAGATGGGTAAAGGGCTTTGGTATTTAATCTATAATCATCAAGGTAAGAGGGTATGGGAAAAGGGTTGAAGGTCAAAG